CAGGAATCCCAGGGCCTGGGCCTGGACCCGGCTCGCACAGCCCTGTCTCCCCCTGCACCATGCAGTGACCCTGCAGCATCCAGCAGGCGATGCTGTGGCCTATTGCATCTGTTGCTGCATGGGAGCACCCACAATGTCTGTGCACAATGGCTGGAAACAACACACAAAGCTGCTGCAAAGGTGGTGCCAGGCTCCTGGCTGCTGCACCTGCTGCTGTTCATCCCAGGAATCAATGCCGGTGAGTGGCAGTTCCTGTAGCTGAGCCAGGGATGGGACAGAGCCGAGAGCCCAATGTGGGGAGTGTGGGTGCAGCCAGGCGGGCTTTGGCCTCGCTGCTAAACCAGGCTGCAGGGAGCCTGGGTTGTGGGGTCCCGCTGAGTTCACCGACAGGGACTGGCTGGCGAGCAGGGCAGCAACTCCAGTCCCCATGGAGCCACTGCATCTGGGCTGGAGCAGGATGGGGGTCAGCTTGGGTCTTGGCCAAGGAGCTCCACAGAGCCATGCAGGACCTCACTGCCTGCCCTGCCCCCCTGCCCGGGACAGCCCTCTTGGCCAATCAGCGGTGAGACCTGTAAGCAGATAGAGAGGCACCTGACAAAAAAACACTTCCACAGCTCCACGTAGTACCAGATGCCCCTGCTTTTTCTTTGACTAGGGTGTCACAGGCTGGTAGGCGCTGTGAGTGTATCAGCCATGAGACTGCTGGGTTCGGGATCGAGGAGGCAAGTCGGGAGTGAAGTAAAGGCAAATTTACTTATAGCTTAGCACACAACAGTTAACAGAAAGTACGGTAATAAAGAGCTAATAGTGAATGATAACAACAGATAGACAGAATGACAAAGAGTTCCCACATGGGGTTGGCAATTTATCAGCAGTCCCTCTATGCCAGGTGTGCACCGAGTTGTTCCAGCGAAGTCAGGCATCCTTGATCAACGCTGTCCAAGGGGTCACTGGGAAGATCCCTTGGTCAGGATCCGGTCCTCACTCACAGTGGGAGTCCGGGGTTCAGGCTCAGTACAGTGATGGTCCTTCTGTCCCGTCCTTCATACTGGTCACCTGACATACATGTTTCTTTATACCTTATCTTATGCTACTCTGTTGGCTTTAGAGCCACTCACAATCTTGCCCTATAGCTGTTACCCTATGGGATCAAAAGGTGTTAGAAATAATCATGAAAGGTTACCGCCCGAACTGGGGTTCACCCAATAAGCAAATTACACATTACTTTGAGATTTGAAATTAGCATTACCTGCCTAAGCTCAACTCCTTAGCTTTTTATTCCTGGATTCCTTGAAATGTGCTGATTATATTAGGTGGTCAGATCTTGTTAGGACTTGACCTTTAAAAAACCCGTTAGATCAGCTAATCTTGTAGCTCTGCTTATTTTTGGGGCTCAGTGGTCCCATGATCAGTGCAAGCAGTTAGATTCAACACTTTGGTTAAATTGTGACAGACAAATTCCACTTACAGGTTGCAAACTTACAAGCTTTGCATTAGCTAATCTTAACTGCTTAGACCATTGCCTGAATGCCTCCAAGAGCATGTATTTACTGCTCATGATAGTAATCCCTCTGGTTCTGGCTACCACACTAAGGAGACATGTCGGAGGCTTCTAATTCCCTTGGTCTGAAGCACTCAGACGTGGCCCCCCTGCACTAGGCTGCAGGTGCCCGGGGAGCTGCTGGTGGGCAGGAAGAGAGGACCCGCTGCCTGGCAGGGAAGGCGGGTGGGCGCAAGCTGAGGAGAAGCTGCTTGTGCAGCCGGACCCTCATCTGCTCTGCGGGGTCATTCTGGCCCCAGCCCCGACCGCGCAGCAGAACCGAGGCCGAGAGGGCCTGTGCCCAGGCCCTTGCTGCAGGGCCCCGGCCCTAATTTGGGTGCGTGAGGGCTCTCCAGGAGCAGGGTGGGCCAAGTGCCTAGGCTGTGCAGGGCCATGCCTGGGAAGCAGAGTTTGGGGGAGTACAACCGGCCTGTGGGACACGGTGTGTGGCCCCTGCAGGCCAGGTGTATGCACTGTGGGGTCGGTCCTGTCCCTCCTCCCCAGCCCCTGCCCCGCACTCGGCCGGCGCTGCCATCTCCTGTGGGCCCCACCGCCCCCTCACTCTGTGCCCCCGCTCCGGCCTGGCGCTGCCCCGTGTCCGTCCTCTGCGGCCCCTCCGGGAGGTGACAGTAAGCACGGAGGGCATTGGCGTCTGCCCCACTAGTGCTGATCCCTGTCACTCTCCCACAGGCTCCCACTCCTACCAGCATTTCTACATGGCAGTATCAGATCCCAGCTCAGATGTGTTCACCTTCACTGCCGTGGGCTACGTGGACGACCAGCAAGTTCTCCACTACGACAGCGAGACGCAGAGACAGGAGCCGCGCGGGGACTGGGTGCAGGGCGCCGTCGGACCAGACTTCTGGGAGGGGGAAAGCAGGACCTTGCGGGCCTGGCAGCGGGGATTTAAACGGAACCTGCGCACCCTGCGGTATTACTACAACCAGACCAAGGGTGAGTGTGAGCAGGCAGGTGTGAGCAGGAGGCCGTGGGGGACCCTGGGACCGAGGGGGACTGACAAGGGCATGGGGGAGACACATGCCCATTAGCAGCACGGGATGGGGAGCCAGGAAGGCATTGCATTGTCTCTTGTCAGGTCTGTGTGTCCCTGTCAGGTGGCTCCTCCCTGCAGTCACGGGCTGTAGCAGGGCAGGGAGGGGCTTGGAGGGTAGGATGGGACCAGGTGATGGGAGGGGGTGTTGGCGGGTGCAGAGAAAGGAATAAGAGAAAGTGTGTGAGGGAGGGAGACGGAGGCTAAAGCAGGAGTTGAGAATCCCAGGGGGGAAAGTCTGGACTCCTGGGCATGTAAGGGTCGTGGTGGGCTGTGACCATGGGGACGCAGCAGTCCATATGAAGGAAACGGGTGCAGGCAGGGGTTGGGCTGAATGGGGCAAAGCCCTGGGGGCATATCTGGGGCCACAGAGTCCAGTCCCTGCTCCGGGCAGCTGCAGCATTTGCTGCCTGGGCTCTGGTCCTGGGCTGTGCTGCCCCATGGGGAGGTTGCCCAGACCCATGCTGCTCACATATGGAGAAGCACTGCTCTGCTTTCCAGCCTGGACTCCTTGTGGCCAGCTTCACCTTCCTTTTCCTCCCCCAACCTCCCATTTCCCTTCCAGGGGTTGTTCCCATCCTTCTTCCCAGCCCTTTGTTGGCCACAGTTGTGTCCCCTCAGCCTTGTTCTCCATGAACAGTGTCCCCAAGCTATCCCTCCCCCAAGAGGTCAGCTCTGCCCCTGCCCAGCCTGGCAGCCATGACCAGGGCCTGGATCTGTGTTTCAGGGTCTCACACGCTCCAGTTCACGTACGGCTGTGAGCTCCGTGAAGACAACAGCACTGGAGGCCACATGCAGCTGGGCTACGACGGGGCAGACTTCATCAGCTATGACCTGGCAACGCGCACCTGGGTAGCAGCCCCGGCACAGGCCCAGCGCACCCAATGCAAGTGGAATGAGGATAAACCTGTTCTTCAGGATACAAGAAGCTACCTGGAGGAGACCTGCATCGCGTGGCTGCGGCAGTACCTACGGCACGGGGAGGCAGCGCTGCAGAGCAGTGAGTCCCGGTGTCACCGCCCAGGGCAGCACTGACCAGGGCACCCCCTCCTGGGGAGTGCCTGCCCCATCCCCCTGTGCCCGGGGTGGCGAGCGCTGCGTCTTGGTCCTGCCGCTGGACAAGACCCCGGTGCTGCTGCAGGACCCGGTGCCCCTGTCCCTGCCCTGCTCAGGCCTCCCAGCTGGGCAGAGCCCACGGGGTGTCTGTGCCCTGGACGCATGTCTGAGAACCAGAGATCGGCTGTATGGGACCCCGTTCCTGCAGCCCCAAGCCCAGCACAGCTGTGTCCCCGTCCCCCATGCTCCTGCCCCAACACCGTCTGCTCCTGCCTGAAATGGGCGCTGGAGCCAGTTTGTGTGGCCCAGTGCAGGGCCCAGCCTGACCTGGCAGGGGTCCTGAGGGTCCCGCAGGGGCGGTTGTTTTAATGGGCGTCTCCTCCCTCCCAGGGCGTCCCGTGGCACAGGTGAGTGACAGGCCGTCGTCCCGGGATGGACGCACCACCCTGTCCTGCCGGGTCCGTGGCTTCTACCCCCGGGACGCGGCGGGCG